CACCCGCCCAGCCCCCAGGGCCGGGCCCTTCGCACCTCGGCGGGGCCAACAGATAAGGGCTATCGTGTCCCCCCATTGTGTGGAGCCTGAGCTCCACTCCCGGCCCTTTGATCACACCAGCCCCCCATCAGGCTGATACAATCTCGTCTCCTCCTGGTTTCGGCAGCCGGAGGGTGGGTGCTGACTCACCGACAAAGCGCCAGGGCACCCCCGGGGACGCTTTGCTTAGCCCGGATCACGGGCGGCCCTGGGGTCTCCAGTCCCACGCGAGCAGTACTGCACCCCAAATCACTCAGGACCATCCTAGGGCTCACTGCTGGGGAAACCCAGCCTTGCACCCTATCTCTGAGGTCCTCAAATTTGTCCTTCCTTTGCTCTCAGAGCCCAGCAGCCTCTTGGAGCATGCCCGGGATTTTTGAGAAAAGCCTTAAGTAAAACCTCGCTGCTCCTCTGAGGAAGCTCCCCTCTCTCAAGGACCCCTGGCAAGCCATGTCCCCACAGCACGTCTGGCCACACAAAGGTCGCTTGTCCTGGGACACCACTTCTGTGCTGCAGATATCCCAGGACAGTCTGGGGCTGGGGCAGGTCCTATGCTTGGCCACAGCCTGTTCGTGCCTCAATTTCCACAGCTGTAAAACAGCAGAAAGGTCCAACTGATGGGTTCAGGCACTGCAGTGCAGGGGTGGTACTCACATAACACCCCTGGCTCTATAATGCAAACTTTTTTATGAGGTGAGAGAACCAGATCAAAAGGTCCCTCAGGATTTTCATCTCAGCTGGGTTTTGAAGCATGGAAGGTCCACCCAGGCTAGCTGCAGCCAAGCAAACTACAGGGCTATGGACAAGCCTTGGAGTTCCCCTAGGGACAAGGTTTCTGAAGCTGAGCTCACTTCAAAGTCCTCCTCACCCACCTGGGATGAGGACTTGCTGGCTCCTGACCACAGGCCCTGACCCACCATGTGCAAGGCTGCATCCCACCAAGTTATGAAACTCGTGGGATCCAGCACAGCCCCAAGGACTTTGCCATCACCTGCCCCAGGAGAGGGTGGGCTGACAGTGAATAAAACATCATCTGCGGTCATACATCCTCTTAAAAGCTTGTCTCCAAGCCAAACTGCTGCCACACTCAGCATAGGAAAGACAAGTGGATGCACATCTCTGCTCCCCAGCTGGGGAGAACAGATGTGCTTCCTTCTGCTCCCCTTCTCCTAGCAGGACCCCTTCCAAACCTGGCTGGCTTACAGATCACAGAGCTGAGCCTGAGCCTGGAGCAAGAGTAAGCTCCAGCCATGAGGGTGATGGAGGGACACATCCTTCCTCTTCCTGGAGCAGACAGGATGCTGTGCTCTAAAGATGGATGGCCAAGCCCTGGCCAGTGGTGCATGCTGACCCCACACAATAACCGAGCACCTCACACAGCCCCCCAAACTTGTCCCATTGAAATGTAGGGGGGGCACGCACTGAGAAACCCCACTGACTCACTCCACATCCCCCAGCTAAAATCATCAGGTCCACAATGGGCCCCGCTCCTACAAAGGAGCCGGTTCAAAGTCAACGTCTCCCTTCCCCTTTGCCTGTATA